GTGTGTAAGCGTTAAAGTGTGCGTTCTAGTGCTACTCATTCATACAGCGTGACTGTTAACAACAGTCAACAATAAATAATCTTCTTATTAAGAATAAACCTGCCTCTTGCGTGAACTCTCTGAACAGGGTCGGCTTGACCTTCTGTATCATAACGGTGGTACATGGAGGCGTAAAAACACAATTATACATATGGATATAGTGTAAACCCAGCCAATTTTAAATGTACTTCATCATTTGAAGTTTATAGTTATAAATGTTTTATGAATGTTTTATCTTGTAAGTACTGAGTCCTGGCAGCTTATTACAATATGCATTTAACTCTATATTATTTATAGAAGTGGTATGATGATACTGTAGTTGGCTATTAGGGAGCAGCGGCATTGTTCCTTTCAAGATAGTGTGTTGTTATCATTCCTTTGCGTCTTTTCAGAAGCACTGGTAGTTCACAATAGGATTGTTCCAGGGTTAACTCAAACAACAGAACAAAGGGTGAAAACAGTGTCACGTGAGCAGTGACTCAGAACAGAGCACGAAGGCCTGTTGTGTGGACCTGGATTTGTATCAGCTACGAGTGAGCAGAGTCGAGGTTAAAGGTGAGATGATCTCAGTGACTTATCTTTCCTTATACTGTTGAAAAAATACAGCGAAAACAGAAGGAATGTGGGCTTAGGCACTCGTCAGCTGGTGGAGGAGAGAGGCAGAAGCGTTCCCTTCACCTGAATAACCGAGTCGCACGCCGCCGTCACTCCCACGGGAAGAGTCAGTCAGGGACCTGAAGGTGCTGAAGGTGAAGGGAACCTAGAGAGTATCCTGTCCACGAGCTCCAGGTGTCTCTCGTGGTTTTCCCGGCTGATCCTTTCATGCATGGCTTCCAGCTGATTCATTAGATTGTTCTGCATTTCCTTCTCGTGGTCCATCAACCTCTGTAGCCGTGCGTCCTCCTGCGCCTGCATGGACGCGTCCATCTCTCTGAGCTGTGCGACGGTCGCCGACACCAACGTGGAGACTTGCTCCATCACCGTCGTTTTCCTCTTCTTCGAGGGGATTGTGTAACCTAGAAAACGAGAGCGACAGTGCAGCCTGTCAGTAACGGGACACTTTAATGTTCAACGAGAGAAAGATTGTAATTTTCCAAGTTGTGAAATGACGTGACAGCAGACAGTAGACGTGTGTTTACCTGACTGGCCTCTGCGTCTGCTCCACTGTCGGTCAGTTTGATAGTCTTAACAGTGAGGATGGAGAAAAGGAGTTAAACACATGAGTGGGCTGTGAGAGACATGCTGCTGTCCACTAACGCTTGACCCCTGAAAGCACCGTGATCAAATCTGGGTGAAAACAGACACTTTAAATAGCATTAGGCAAATTGTTTGATTAAATTGGGGGTTGTTTTACGATTAAATACACCAAGTCACGACAAACTCTCCTCTGTGCGCTGCTGCCATAAAACATGGAAGCGTGTGCAGTATGCCTCATCAAAGTCAGGAGAAACGTCGCTGCGTCTCTTCTTTTAAAACCATTACTATTCATGAGAATTTCAGCAAACCAAACAGGATAACAGCACTTAACTTTTGAAGGGGTTTAGGGAGTAACTTCTCACAGCTTCGAGGAGGAAAAGCCGACCTATACGCTTCCTCTTTCTGTGGCTGTTTGTGGCAGCAGTGCGCACTTTCAGAGGGTTTGGAGCTTTAAAAGTGTGGGCTATCCTGTCTGGCTGCCTGTGAGAAGAGTGAATAACCACACTTGGGCGGTTTTTTATACTTTTGGTATGATGTGTCTGTTTTCCCCCATATTTTAGTCACAGCACACACGTGAAGTTTGCCCAGACAGAAAGTTCATAGGACTCCATAGAGATGCTGGTGTAGCAACCAAAGCCTGCACATATACAGACCAATAGGCTCAGATGGCTGACAGTACATAGTGCAAAGTGCACGATGACAGTCGAGAAAAGGGGTAAGTAAGTAAAACTTTATTTATATAGCACCTTCTTGATACAGAGATCCAAAGTGCTTCCAAACGAACAATTGAAAGCAAAGAGAGTGGTTTGATGCAGCCGTTTAGAACTGTCCATCGTGTTGCTGTGAATCTGAGTGATATGGAGATATTCCACTAGTGGTTGGGCTAATAAAGCTGAAAGCGAACTAAGTCACCTCTGTAAGTTTTCAGTAGGAGCGTGGACGGATAACAAGCTGAGTTTGAGGACAGGAGGCGAAGTGGAATGGGAATCAAGGAGTCTGAAATGTAAACTGGACAGTCGATGAATGCCCTGTATAGTAATCAGTAAGATCTTAAAATTGATTCTAAATGTTACAGGAAGCCAGTGAAGGGTCCCTGCAGCTGCTAATGTCCTCTGTCTGCATGTGACAGCTGCTTTGGATCTGGTTATGAACTGATAAAACACTCTATACCAAACACTAATCTACATGCCAAATATGGAACCTATCTCGATCAAACGGAGGACACCTGCAGGTCATCCCGGCATCTTTTCTCACCACAACAACAACAACAACACATGTAATGCACTCACTGGCGCTGATGGGCTCTAACTGCTCCTCGTCGTCCTCCACCTCCACCGGACCCAGGTGCTTGTGGATCTCCCTGTCGTCCACATCGTCCCAGAGGCCGACTACAACCTCCTGGTGCTCCTCACTGAGGCCAGGCGGCGGCGGAGGGGGAGGAGGGAGGAGGTGTGGAGGTGAGGGTGAGAGTGAGGGTGCGGGTGGGGGCGTGGGACTCCGGTGTCGTTTCCCCGGGTTCCCCACGGGAGCGTTCCCGAAAACCCGATGACACTGGTCGTAAAAGGGCCAGTCGACGCGGTCGCTCCCGCAGCGGGTCTTCTGCTGGTGGTACTTGGCGTACTGCTTCCTGAGCGCCTTCAGTTTGCTGATCACCTGCATGTGAGACCTGTACACCCCCCTCTCCGCCAGCAGTTTGGTCATCCTGTTGTAAACTACAGAGTCCTTCACCGTGCCCGTGATCTGGTTCCGGATCGCCTCCGACCCCCGGATGGTCAGCAGCTCTTTGATCTCGTTCTCCTGCCAGTTGTGCATCCTCTCTGTTGTGGACGATTGTGTCGCTGCAGCGGATCAACTTGTTACAAACACCTTGTATATTTGCGCCCTGTGGGGCTACGTCACTTGTCTGCGCCGGAAGAAGACGGTGTCAAAGATAGGTTGTTGGGGATGCCTCACTCAGGAGATGGAGAAGTTGGACGAAGCGTCAAAGTGGGAATAAAGGGTTTCCTCGTTCATACTGAGCTTTCAAACCATAATATATGTTTGACTGTATTATTAGTGGCAGTCAGTTATTGCAAGAAAATGATACCAATAAAAAATAACTATTTTGTTTAATACTGTAGTTTAAGATTGAACTTATTTACCTGCTGGACACAGGTAAATAAGTTCTGCTTTACTGTAGTCCATTCTCAGTGTATGGAGGTTTTCCACGCCACTCTTTGGACCGTGAGTACTTCTTGTACATACGTGTCTTACAGTGAGCACAGAGAAACTCAACTCTTACAGCAGATCACTTCAAAAACCTCTGGTGTCAAAGTCTGAACATGCATCGTTCTGCACAGTGAGGCCAAAACATGGACGGTGAATAAGCAAAACATCTTTTTTTATTATTAATAATAATAAATAGTATTATACACTGCAGGGGCTGCAGTTAACTATTAATTCCACTGTTGATTAATCAGACAAACAATTGTTTTGATTGACGTAAGAGAGAAGTACAAATATGCACTTCATCACAATTCACAAGTCCAGAAGTCATAGTTTTACTGTTATAGAAACAAATATCTGAGAAACTGGAATTTTGATTGTGTGTGCTCGTGTGTGTGGGTTACATTTTGGTTTCTTAATAAAAAATTTAAAAAAGACTGAAATGCTTAATTACTAATACTGTACTAACTTAGGATTTAATAACTGGGGAAACTATATCAACAGTTATTACTATTTTAGGTAGTAGTAGTAATATTACTTATGGTACAGCTCATAATTGACATTTTTGTGTTGCATGTAAACAACATGGCCAAAAGTATGAGGCTACTCACATATTAATATGCTGTTATAATAGCAAACT